CCTACTGTGTGCCAGGCAAGGCATGTGCCAGTAGCTTTATACATATTAACTGAGGTTCCAAGACATAAGGAATGTATCTATGATTACGTAAGTTGAACTAGGACATGATGTCCTAATCTTTTCTTGTTCCAAATTGTCCAGGAGTGAAGAGCGACTCTGGGTCATTTTTTCCTATATTTTCTTCATGTGTTTCTGTGTTTGTTTTTCTTAATATTTTCTTTTTATCTCTGGGTGATATACAATAGTAAGGATATACGTGCATGTTAAAAAAAGCAAATAGTACAAATAAGATAGCTGAAGTGACTTTATAAAACCTTCTGTTTCATAGTAAAACACTTTAGTCAATGAATGAATAGATGTAAAGCTCTTTATTTTGCTATTTTTTATTCTCAGCCAAGGATGTACTCATTGATTTTTTTGTTTTTAGAGAGAGGGTAAGTGAGGGGAGGAGAGAGAGAGAGATCTATCAGTTGCTTCCAGTATGCACCCCGACGGGGGACTGAACCCACAACCTAGGCATATGCATGCCCCTGACCAGGAATAGAAGCTGCACCCTTTTGGCTTATGGGATGATGCTCCAACCAACTGAGCCACACCAGCTAGGGCTGCAGTAAAACACTTTCTGTAAATGCTTTACATGGGGGTGAGGAGAAGAAAGAAAAAATAAGAATGATTTCTACTTAAAATTAGGAAGTTGAGCATTCTCAGTAAGGGCTAACACTAACAATTTCATTCAACCCCACTCAATTCAGTAATTATGTTTTGAGGACAACCAGTCTCTAGACTGAGGCCTGCAAAACCAAGATGGAAAGAAATAAAAAGTGAATGACATAAAGCTTTAATATCTATAGAATAAAAAGTCACAATGCAGATAATCATTGTCAGTGCCCTAATTGAGAAAGAAAATACAAGAAATATGGGTAATCTTTATTAAAAACAGCACGGGGCTGATTATAATAAATTTCTGTCATTTCATAGGAGAAACATACTTTCATTTTTTTAATTAAAATTTGTTTTGCATAAACACACAAAGAAAGATGTTTTATTTTCCTCCGCTGTTAAGATTTCTTAGGGCAGCTTTGCCTTTCTTATGTAATTGAACAGTAGGGGTAACAGAGTCCCATGGAGAGAAATGTTTTCCCAGCATGAGAAAATAGGGTTCCCATCTGACACAGCTTGGAAGAGCAGGTCATGTTGCTTGCCTCAGAGTGAAGGTCAAGGTGGGAACAGGGCTGATGACAAATCCTAGTCTCTGCTCCTGGTCCAGGTTGGTTTTCCATCTGTATCCGGTGAGCCAGATATAAAGGGAAGTGTGGTGTAAATGCCATCCAACTGATTGGCATGGTAGAAGAGTAAAGACAATTGGACCACAGAGCAAGCTGTAGGATTGATCATTTCTTCCTCGTATCTTTTTTCTTTTCTTCTTTTTATAAAAAAGAATCTTTTTAAAAAGATTTTATTTATTTCTAGATAGAGAGGAAAGGAGGGTGAAAGAGAACAGAAACATCAATGTGTGGTTGTCTCTCTCACATCCCCTACTGGGGACCTGGCCCACAACCCAGGCACGTGTCCTGACTGGGAATCGAACTGGCAACCCTTTGGTTTGCAGGCCAGTGGTCAATCCAGAGCCACACCAGCCAGGGCATCTTTTCTTTTTTCTTCTTTCTTCTCCTTAAAAGGTATTCTTCCTTAAAGATCTTTGTAACACAATAAAGAAACTTATTTTAAATTACATAACTGTAAAATAAATATAATATTTATAGTGTATCACATATGTAATATAAATATAAGAATGTAAATATAGAAGTTAAATGTAATTGTACCCTCAAAGTTTGGCCAGTTAAATGGGAAGGCCTGAAAAAAAGAGAAGGGAAGAATGAAGAATGAAACAAATACCCCCCCCCCCCAAAAAAAAAAATTGCTCACACACACACACACTCACAATAAGGAGTAGGAGGCGAGTGACTTAGGAGAAGTGCTACTGGTCTGAGAATTGCCAATATATTTTTTTTCTTTTGGTTTTATCCTGCTGTTTCCTTTGTCTCTCCCATTAGCCTCTATTACTGCCTTTTCAAATGCAAATTAGATCCCTTGCTCTCTGGCCTTGGGTTTTAGTGGCCCAGGCTCTCTGTGTGGGAATGACACAGCTCCCTGGAGTGGAAGCACCCTGTTGGGTGTCAGCAGGGAGGGCCACAGTAATCAGCTTATGAGCTCTGACCTAGTAGCACTTGACAGTCACCTGGAGAGCATTTAAACTGTATCCATGCTGCCCTTCACCCTTGACCAACTAAGCCAGAATCTTTGAATAATTTTGGTATAGGGCCCCTGGGGATGAGCACTTAAGAACAAACAAGACAAACTCTCAGGCGGTTCCTAATATGGCACCAGCATTCAAAACCACTGGTGGAGAAGATTCTCCAAATGTGCATGAGGATCTCAGAATTTACCACAAATTATCTATTCACAAAATTGGAAGCAAATGTTGTTCTTTGATTTTCAGATGACGGGAAGATTGTTAAATGTAATTACTTCCCTCTATTTTCATCTTTCCTGCTTTTTTTGTGTGTTTTGTTTTTCCGATTTCCTTACTCCAGATTGTCATAAGTTGATATTTCACATGTTGCTTCTTATTACCTGTCTCACACATGTTCTGGCAACTTTGTGCTTGGCCAGGGCCCACACCCTGTTCTTGGTTTCAAGTCTGCATCAAACTGAGATTGTTGCCACAGTAGAAGGCACTTTTATTCTGACTGTGTGATTAGTTAGTATGTTTCCTTTCTGCCAAACAGATGGGAAGAGAGAGCCTTTCTTTCTTTCTGAGTAGCGGCTCTAGCAGGGGTCGTATGATATATACTCTTGTACAAAAGAACTGCTCAGTCGGAAGACTAGACATTCAGAGGAGATGAGTCACAGCCGGTGGCAGGTGTCTGTCACAGAAGGGAGCTGTGGGTGTCCCTGCCAGGTGACTCGGCAACTGACTCAGAAACAGTGTTATTTTACCCAAAGAAAATCGTCAGAATTGAAGTGTCTGTTCTGAAATTGGTACTGTATTTATTCTTACAAAAGTGAAAATCAGCAATTAAATACATACCTTTGAGAAAGCCCAAGTGACTTACTAACAAGCCCAGGCCTTGCCGTTGCAGAGATGATCGACTCCCTTGCTCATCCGGCCTTTTATGAGTGATGGTTTCATCTCACACATAGCATTTTATATTTATATTAAAAAGTTGTATATCATATAAGCAGTATATACTTATTATTTTCTCGGGATCTGGAAGGTATAAGAATTTAAACAAGGTTTGCCTGGTGACACTTCTCTGAGTGTTTTCCCAGGGACCGGGGAGCCCTGGCACAGTGCCTGTTCCGGACGTTTCTCCAGGCTCCCGGGCCCCTCCCCTGCCTGTGGGACTGGGCCGTGTCCCAGCTGCAGCCTTCCTGGAAGCTGGGTCTCTAGTTCACTGATCTTTTTTCTTATTTATCATTTGCTAGTATATTTAGTCTACCTGTCATAACACAATCTGTTCTTAAAATCAATTCAGTTGCCAAAGGATTATTCATGTCCCCGTAACCTCACGGCTCTTCGGCGGCGCAGCTCAGAGTTCTGTGGTTATGAAATCCTTGAGTTCATTTCTTTGGTTCCCTGAGATTTCTGTGGCTGCTTGTGAGTCTAAGTCGTGATATCTAGAATATTTTGGAAAATTAGACCAAAATATGTGCTCTGTCCCCTTTAACATGACTTTTAATGGTATTTAAATAAAGATAGGCAGACAAATTTATGTGAAATATGAAAGTTATAGTTTAGGAGAGTTTGGTGAAGTTTGTCTTTCCAGGAAATTCAATGAACTCCCGTTCACTTTGTGATGACTTGGAATATTTCGAGGTGAAGTGGTGCTAATGTGACGGATAGGAAAGGATGGGATATTACTGCAAAGACGACGATGCATTTCCAGCTTAAATTAATTTACAGTTTACCTTGGTTGTATGTTTCTGAGCTGCCTCCCTGTTCCCGGTGCACACGCAGGGCAGCCAGCAAGGCAGCAGACGGGAAAGGAGGCATCTCGCGAGTGGGGGGTAGCGAGGCCCAGGAGGGCGTAGCTGTGATCTGTTTAGCCTGCGTTTTGGGAGTGTCTGCTCTGTCCATCACATTTCCCTGCTTTTGTCTCGTCAGCTTCTCATCTCCGTGTTTCTGACCCTGGGCTTTGAACTTGACTTTCCTTTCTGCCTGTATCTTTTCCTTGTCTTCTAGACTCTTATTTTCCTATCCATGACCCTTGGCAGGGCTGTGCCTTATGCCTGCCCTCTCCTGTCTGGAAAATCAACTTCAGACATTCTAGAAGCCGTCTTGTCTATTACATGTTCAGGATGGTCCTCGAAATCTTGCCATCTTTCTCTTGAAACGCTTGTTATGCGCCGCAATCATTCTGGTCTCCAGGAAATGCCTGTATTAAAGATGAACGAACTGCCAGAAAAACTCAGGAAAGATGAAGTGTCTAAGATGTTACTTGTCCTCAGTTACTTTTTTTTTTTTTAGGAGCATGATAAATTAATCTTATTTTGCAGAGGTTTTTTTTCCCTCATAACTTCAAGCTATTTCTCGCCTAATTATACTCCCCATTTCTCTTGAGGACAATGAAATGAAAAACTGTCTTTGGGTTTTACATAACTAAATTTATGTTAAGAAAAAATTGTTTATTTATTTTTTTTTACTTACCTGGTGACACTTCAAGGTTTGCAAATATATCAAAATTCAGAATATATTAAAATTAAAATCCAAAACTTCTGAGCTACTTATTACTCTGTAACTGTCGTCTCCTTTTGAGAAGTAGCAGGGCACAGTGGAAGAAGTATAGGGGCATTTTTCTCCCCCCGTTGAGTGTAACTCTGTCTCCGTGTGCTCTGGGAGCAACTTTTGGAAAGGTGGTCTTTGCGCTTGAGTGTCAAGAATACAAAGTTGATCAGGCTTCCAAATGTGTTTTTCTTTCCTTTTTTTTAAACCACAGAACTGACTCCTGAGGAGAGAGCCCAAAAGATTGCCAAAGCCATGCGCAAGCAGTCTTCCGAAGTGAAGGAGAAGTGGGAAAGTCTAAACGCTGTCACTAGTAACTGGCAGAAGCAAGTGGACAAGGCACTGGAGAAGCTCAGAGACCTGCAGGGAGCTATGGACGACCTGGATGCCGACCTGAAGGAGGCGGAGGCCGTGAGGAACGGCTGGAAGCCCGTGGGCGACCTGCTCATCGACTCACTGCAGAACCACATTGAAAAAACCATGGTCAGCATCACTGCCTCGGCTAAAGGGCGTTGAGAAATGTTTTGTTGTTAAATATTAACACAAGTAAAGAGAGCCAAATATGTACCTTGTCCAAGGGATTTTTATAAGGTCAATGCCATTACGGACCCTACCAAAGTCAGGATGACAACAGATGTTTTCTTATACCCGTCATCACCCGAATCCCCTCCCACAAATAACCAATGGGACTTTAGCAATCATTTACTTTCATGTTTCTTTAAATGTTTTCACTCAGCTGTGCATCCCTAAACAGTTACTTGGTTCTTAAGAAATATTTTAAAGTCCTTTTTAATATTTAGATTTCCCTTCTATCTTTTTCTTTCTTCTTTTCTTTTCCAATGTCTTCATTAAGGCAGCTGAATCGTTTGTTTTGTAGTGTTGCTCACAGCTTGGATTTTGCAGAATGTCATCCACATTGTAGATCATCTGGCTGATTCCTCTCTGCTGTGGATTTCCTGTAAACTGGTAGCTGAATTTATAGTTTTAATCAAAAGTATGCTGTTTTACTGAAAATTCTTACGTACATATTTTATTCCATTGTATATACACTATAGGTATAGTATATCAAGTGTATCTACACTATATAATATATGTAAATAAGGATTTGTGTATGTTAGTGTAGGATTAGCTCATCTATAAATTCTGTCTGCAGTCAGGGATTACTGAAGTTAAGAATGTTGGACCTACCTTCTGGACCCCCTTTGGGTCCAATATTTTAGAACATATCCAGAAAAAAATGGGATTTAGGCAGAAAACATATTTAGAAATAGTGTGGTTTCTAATAACATGGTAAACAGTATATTAAGTAGTTATAAATCCAATAAAAAAGAAACAAGAGAAAAATCAGGTGTTAGACTGAGAATGGGATTTTTATTGCAAAAGACATCCCTCCTTTGGGCACAGACACTGGGTAATGTTTTCCCTTTGTTTGTGCGCATGTGGCTGAACAGGAAGAGAAGAAAGGTGTAGGTAATTAACTGAATGCTTATGCAAATTATACATATATGTATCTATATACACATATATATCCATTTGAAAGTATCAATTTTTAATATAGGATGACTAGTGTTGGATGAAAAATGAGAAATTGTACTTGGGGTTATTAAGGGCCTAGATGTTTTGGAGTTGTTAATCCCATTTGATTAAAGAAATTAGTCACCTGTGCATCCAAATCCTTGGGTTCAAATCTCTGCTTAAGTAGGAAGCTAGGAAGTTACAATTAATGTTTAGAGGAAGGGATAAACTTTGGATTAAAATATTTTAACATCTTATTGGGAAAAGAAGGAAATAAAAATCCAAGTCTTATTAAATCAAATAAGATGGATTCCCAGTCCGGGGTGTTTTACATGCGTTGTGGTGTATACCCCAAATCCCATTGAAACTACAGGCAGATGAAAATAAGTACTGATTATTGCTAAATATTATTAAATTATGCTAAAGCAAATGGGAAACAAAATCTTTTGGGTAATCAAATAATTTTAACTCTCTGAAATAATCCTCAGTCATTCTTTTTTTAAAATTAATTTTAGAGAGAGAGAAAGGAAAGGAGAGAGAGAAAAAAACCCCACCAATTTGTTGTTCCACTTATTCATGCATTCATTGGCTGATTCTCGTATGTGCCCTGGCCAGGAATCAAACCTGCAACCTTGGCATACCCGGGTGATGCTCTAACCAACTGAGCTATCCATCCAGGGCCTCCTCAGTCATTCTTATTCGCATAATGCACACCTTCTGACAGGACACCGGTTTGGGATTCATATCTGTAACAGGCCATCAGGCAGCACCTTTAATACGAGCAGATGTTTCTGTTTTTTACAGCAAGAAGACCACATAGATTTTTATTATCCTATTGGAAAGTGCAGCCAGAACATGATAAATTGCTTCTTTATAATAGAACACATGGCAGATCTGAAACCATTTTAAAACTTGCTTTATTTCAAGCCCCTTAATTCAGAAGCTCTTACAAACCAAGAGGTAAACCTTCTTAAGAGATTTCTTGTTGCTGTAAAACACCTGACCATCGCAAAGAAACCAAAACTTACGGGCCCTGTTTGTCAAATGTCATTTAATATTTTTACCTGTGGCTTGTCAGAGATAAACATTATTTTTATAGAGGAGAAATAACAACTCCTTTATTGTTCTGGTAGATTTTAAAAATGTGTGTTAATGTTATAATCTAATTAAATTTTTAAGTCATCTTTTGAAGAAAAATGGTCACTTAAAATTATATAAATCTGAGGATATTTTCTAGCATTTCATTTTTAATCTCTACTATCTACATGTTGGTATTTTACAAAGGTACTGATTTTAAAAACTGATTAAAATTCTCGGGTCCTCCATGGTACTTAAGGAGAAAGTATTAATGTATGACATTAAATCACAATCGAAGACAGCCGGAAGGGTTGGAGATCTGTAGTTATTCTCACACTGAGCCTGAGGGGGAGGCCAGGCCTCTCTGAAGCCCAGGCTGAAGAATTCTGCTTCCCCAACCTAACTCCCACTTTTCTCTGTCCCGTGCTTCTGTTTCAGTGATCGGTTCCTTAGGCCTATGTTATCTCAACAGAATGCCTTTGTTATCATTTCACTGCTTTACTTGTTGGAGTGCACTCTGCCTGTGTGTGTGTGCGGTGTCCCGTGTCAGCCAGGCAGAAAACCCGGCCCACCTCTCAGTTCCCTCCTGTCCCATGTTGCAGCGATTCTCAGGTCTTTGTCGGTCACCTTGTACTGGATTTGGAAATGCTGATGTCTTGACAGTTGTGGCAATATTTCTTCGGCATGTTGATATTCAGCTTCGCTGTTTCAGATGTCACTTAGACACCGCTGCCTCCACCGTCCTTGTTTTTCGCTCCAGCTCTGGCTCCAGATCCATCCCTTCCGACTCTCCACCTTGACCTTCTTTATGTGGCTTTTGGGCATGTTCAATACCTTGGAAACACTAAAACATATCCTCTGATTTGCCTACAATTAATTTCTTTCAAAAATAGCTATATTCTTAATATTATTTTGATGTCCATCTGTCATAATGGTTGTGTTGAGCCTGTGTGGGACACACGAGGAGTTACATAGGATAACTAGAAAAGGTGCAGGAGAGAGGCAAGGAGGGAGTGGTTGAAGGAGCTGCTTTTATACTCATAAGAAGGAAGCCAAGTTAGTACTTGTAGTGTTTTAATAAAATTGGATAGCCCTGCAAGCACTTTAATATGTAATATTTCACTAACCTTGGACTGGTGAGAGAAGAGAAGTAGGATGGCTCACAGGTACACACCTAGTCTCTTAGCAGCGGGGATGGTAGAAACGGTGAAACCTGAGGGCTGATGCTAACAGGATGTTTACAAGTTAAGTCTGGTACGTGGGTAACTCTAATTTTGTGAGCAACCAAAAAAAAATGTACAGTTCTTTTTTTAGAACCTACTTCTGTTCCCAATTCCATATTGGCTTAATCTTGCCTCGGACATTATTTTTGTGGGCCTCCATCACTAGAAAAGAGTTTTGCCCTCTTGTATAGCAAACTTTGTGCTGAATTCTGTCAGGTGCCTGTCTCGTGAAGCTTCCATTCTCTACAGGGGACACTGAGAATATGGATACTTATAATTCCCTGTGCGAAGAGCTCTGATAAGGAATGATGTTTAAAATGCGTAATAACTGGATGGTATGGCGCCAGACAATCAAAGTGGCCTCTATTAGAAAACCCAATGTGTGTGTCCACACAGGTGCTAGTTGAATGTCCTGGCTGGATTGGAGAAGGCAGAGAGAACACTGGGGAACCATGGGAAGGGCCTCAGGGGACTCTTTTCTGAAATGGGGTGCGTGGGTGGGCACCAGAGTTGAGTCTTGAAGACTCCAGGCAAGGCTGTTGAAAAAGAGAACGTGAACAGAGAGGCAGGTGGATTTATGTGGGGAATGGAGAAAACGTAGTGTTTTCATGATTCTACACGCTGTCGCAGGACTTGTGACTGTCATTGGCCCCAAGTTTTTGTTTTGTTTTTCTTCCTCTCTTCACATTCACTGCCCACCCACACCAGCCCTGTGCTGTGCCCAGAGGTGGCATTTGTCGGTTCTAAGCTTCATTTACCTCTTTCCTATAGATTCCACTCCCCCTGCCCCGTCTCTAACCAGTGATCACAAACGTTTTTGAAAGGGACAACCTTTCCTCTGCAGTGTAATAGGCATAGGTTTTGTGGATAAGGAAGTTGTTTTTACTGGCCACATTCTAACTTAATTTTAAGGGGAAACTTGTTAAAATCAATTTGTTACATCAGGTGAAAAAATATTATAGTAGCCATATGGAGAAGTAAAAAAGAAGAAAAATATGAAATTTAAAGATAGAATCAAGATTAGAAACTAGTAAAGTGGATAATAATGACAAACACTGTTTGTCATTCAGTACATTAGACTAAATTGCATCTAATGAAAAATTCGAAGGAAATACGTAATCACTTAAATGTGTTTGCAAATTTTCCTCCTCACATTCCATTTTCGTTTGTGTGTGGTACAGAGGAAGACCCTTCAGCTGCGGTCCTGGGTGCCGAAGACCTGCACTGAGTCCTCTGCTCTTGACTGAGCAACTGTAGCTGGCCTCAGCTTATCCTGCCATTTTCTTTGAAGGAAAGTTAAAAATACTGCCTTTGGTGACATTCTTTTCTGAAGACATTGTTATTGTCCTCTTCTTCCAGGCATTTAGAGAAGAAATTGCACCCATCAACTTAAAAGTGAAAACAATGAATGATTTGTCGAGTCAGCTGTCCCCCCTTGACCTGCACCCATCTCTAAAGATGTCGCGTCAGCTGGATGACCTTAACATGCGCTGGAAACTTCTGCAGGTATCACCGTATTCCTCTTCATTATACACGTTTATACTTTGGTGGGTCTTTAAACCTCATCTCAACTCAATGCCACGTACCATCGTTTTTTCTTTCTTTTTTGGTTGTGTTTGATCATGGATTCACAGCATGTGACATCAGCTGTCTTTCAGCATCTTAAACTCAAAGGCCTCATTTATTTATAAGTTTTAATGTGATTTTTGATGTACTATTCATATGATATTTGTAGGAAATTGCAAAAGGTCAAATAAATCACAGTAATTGAAATGTATGGTAGGTCACAGAAACATTTTTTTCCATAATGGCTTATAAAGAAGTCATTTTTTTTTACTTTAATCATGTATTTTTTTATTTCTTTTGAAAAGTTAAAAAAGTCTTTATCCTTCTTATTCCAGCTGCTTTCTCTTTAAGTATCTTGATCATTTTTTTTCAGCTAGCACATTTCTACTATTGTAGTGTTTACCTTTATCTCTGAGATCTTAGCTGCCAAAATGTAGGGGTTTTTTTAGATTTTATTTATTTATTTTTAGAGAGAGGGGAGGGGAAGGAGAAAGATAGTGAGAGAAACATCAATGTGTGGTTGCCTCTCATGCACCCCCCACTGGGGACCTGGCCTGCACTGCACTCATGAGCCCTGATTGGGAATTGAACCAGCAACCCTTTGATTCACAGCCTGTGCTCAGTCCACTGAGATATACCATCCAGGGCCCAAATGTAGTTGTTTTAATGACTCTAGATCTTACTTGCTTGTCCCATCTTAATAGAGCCAAACCAAGAAGAGCCCTCTTGAGTATGACCATGTGTCAGTATTTGCAAGTCACCACCCATGCCAGTTATTAGGGTTTGTTCATCTTCGTGGGGCTTTGTCACATTCAATGGCCAGTTCCAAAGAGTCATAATAATCACTTTTTTTCTGAAAACCAGAAGGATAATTTGAGTGGGAGATTGAAAAAGACAATTCTTACTAATTTCTCTCTATATTGTAGGCCTCGAATGTAATATTTAATAAGATAAATATGCTATTTTAAGGTGGGACATAGATGCATTTTAAGGTATAGTAGGTTTCCTGAATTAATTCAAACATTGAAACACACAACTTGATATTTTCTTCATGAAATTGAAGTAGTAAGAAATGACTTATGTAGTATTAGGCTGTCTTTTCTATTTTTGAAGGAGTGCCAATAATCTGGGATTAGTAAGCCAGGATATGTTAAATTCACACATGCTTTTCTAGTGAGAGGGAGGCAGAAATGCTTGACCAGTACTCCCTTTTTCTTCTGCTTTGTTTCTCTGCATCATCCTTTCTATGTAGGCATTCCTGCGGTCCATCTTGATTTCCTTCCCATTCTGCTCATTATCACCATCTGCAAAGATCAGAAGTTAGAGGATATGTTACTCTCAACAGAGGATATGTGTTCTGTCTTCCTTATCTCTGAGCCTGGTGACTGCTAGAGCTTAGATGTTAGTTGCTGGTTGAGTAAGAGGGGGAAGATCTATGCTGCCCGACAGCATGGTTAAATTTCAGCAGTAGCACCTTCTTTACTCCTCCTGAATGTAAAGTTTGGCATTGAGTGCTTTTTGGCCTTATGAGAAAAAGTACTTGCTAATGCAACTAAAATAGCCAACCAGGAGACACCAGAGCTGCCCAGTAAGCCAGAGATACACACTTTTCATTTAAAGGCAGCTGAAAATAAGTTTGGCAGCATAAGTGGAACAGCTTACCAGCACTGCAGAGGCAAAGACCCGGTAAAAGGACATGGACGTGTCAGTAGGCTCTGTGCAGTTGTTATTGGTTGGCAATAGTTTCTCAGTGTGCCAACTCTTAGCATATTCATAATATAGAGAGTTAACCATACAATGTGTGTAAATAAATATAGAGAGTATATTAATCTGCTAGTATATGAATGCTCCCAAATCAAGATGATGGGACAGAAACATGGAGGAAAATAAGATGTTCCATACTCATCTGCCTTTATCTATCTATCTATCTATCTATCTCTCTCTCTATCTCTCTGTGTATCTATCTATCATCTAATTCATCCATCTCTCTATCCATCTGCCTGTTTTCTCCCTTAGAATACTTCAGACTTTCATTTGCTCCCTGTAGCACTTTTTGCCACCTTTCTTACAACATAGAGATGAATAGCCACTGACCCCATGGCCTCATCTTGACTTCACATGCTTTAGACCTTAACTAACTGCTTCTGAGGCCAAGCGGAGTGACAGTGAGGGCATGGATTCTGGCACCAGGTGAGCTGGTGGTGAGTGTTAGCACTGCTGCATGCTGACTTTACGTCCCGGACACCTCTGTCTTTCCCCACATCTTCCTCTGTCAAATGGTGGTCACAGTAATAATGCTTACCCAATCCGGTTATTGAGAGGATTAAGAGAGCTAATTCATAGAAATTGTTTAGGAGAGTGCCTGGCACTATTTGCTATCACTTGGTGCCAGAAGGAGTCTATTTTCATCCCAGTATTTTGATTTCAGAGATAGAAAAAGAGTCTATACAAGCAATCTTGGGAAGTATCATTATTTACTGTAATACTTAAATCAAGGATATTGCTAAAGTTACTGTTTTGCAGTCAAATTATTTTGGGGTGTCTTATGCAGGTTTCTGTGGATGATCGCCTTAAACAGCTTCAGGAAGCCCACAGAGATTTTGGACCATCTTCTCAGCACTTTCTCTCTAGTAAGTACTGATAAACTTGACTGGCCTCATTAATCCGATGGATCAGCATGCCTTTTCACTCAAGAAGCCATATTCTTTGCTATAAACAGATATACTTATATGCAAGTATATAAAAGGATATATTAAAATTAATGACAATATTGTTTATTGGTTTTTATTTGTAATAACCTGGTCATAACTCATAAGGCTTTGAAGTGGAGCCAGAGTAACTTGTCCTTAGCTATGGCTAAACCAGTAGGTTCCCTGAACCATCTGTGATGATAACTACTGTAGTATCGGGTCATCATTGCTCTGTCAAATGCAAAGGTCATGAACTTGTTCACGATAAAGACACCATCTCTATATTTAAAGATTTGAAATTAACTTTTCTCCTTAAAAAGTGTATATTAGTTTAAAATGCACCTGCACCTTTCATAGGAAAACTTCATTCCCCACAAATTTTTACATGAGAAGACTTTGGTTTATTGGGCTCACTGCGATCATATTTAACTTGCTTTCTGGTCCAGCAGTTGCAGGCTCAGCCAAACCACATATGTAGATCTTTATGTAATATTCCCCAGCTGAATTTTTTTACTTTAGGGACTGGCGGTGAGACCTTGAGTAAATAATTGGGGCTCCTACTTTATCATTCACCACTGAGGAAACTGGAGAATGTAGGAGTCACCAGATCAGGGTTAAAAAATATTCAGGGTCCGGCACAGACAACGTCCCTTCTTTATTACAAAATCTTTTATTGCAAAATCATAAGCATGCAATTCTGTAACACAACAATATCACACTCAAGCACACCATAGGACATTTTAGGTGAAATGTTCAAAATAAACCTATAAATGATCACATCCATATTATTTCCCTACCAGCCACACTCAAGCAGGCCTTCCTTCTGCTGGATCCTGCAGGAGTAATTCTGCTTTTTACCAGAGCTGTCATCCCCCAAAAGCTAATTTCTTTATTTTAAAATTACTGTGATAACACTTGTTTCCTCTGATCACCTGAAAATTAAACAAAAAACATAACTGAGTTACACCAAGCACCTACCACAGTTCTTGGTACAAATGCTTTCGCTAAATGTCAGTTCTTTTCCTTTCATTGTCTCTGACAAACATATGTAAGAAAACAGTTTACTTAATTCTGTTTAAGTGAAGTTTATAACTTAAGACGAAGCTTATTTCCCAATAACGATAACTTCTTTGTATCTATAACCATAGAAAGAGCTGAAGTAATAATACCATGTCCTCCAACCTAATTGATTCCAGTTATATATTCTCTTAATCTTTTGTCATGGCTGGTAATCTCCTGTACCTCAATTAAAGGTCAGGTTTTCCTTTTACAATTTCAAGAATACTCCTAATCTGTCAGACCCTGCCCTTCCTGCCCTACACATCTCTAGTGCTCGCGACCTCTCCCCGCCTTTCTCCCTGCCCTTGCCTCCCTCTGTCCCTTCCCTCCCTCTACCTGCCCAGCCTGTTTCTCACACAGGAGCCCTTAGGTAGTCTATTTTAGTGATTGGTAGTCCTTCCTGGAATATCCTGTCCACCTGGTTGTCAGGATGCAGTTCCAAAGTTTGGACACCATCAATGCTGACAAAGTAAATAGCTTTGCAGTCTACCCATTTGGTATGAATCACTCCAGATTTCTTACACTTACTTTTATAGAATATAAAGTTATGTGCTAAGACCAAATTAAAGAGGAATTTGACAAGGAAATGAGACTCTATTTACAGTTCTGTTATAAAGGTTTAGTCATCTATTAGCACTGAGGAAACCCTATACTTTCACCTAGCAACCATTCTTTGATCGTGAAAATCAAACTCATTTTCCTTAGGAAATGAAACATTGTAAAAACCGTGAACCGCGAGCACATCACCTTTTATTGTCCAGCACCAGCCCAAGGAGGCCAGAGTTATTCAAATCAAAACAATTATTAAAATGAATCAAGAAGTGTAAACAAAATCCCAATTAATAAATTTAATGGTTGTTTTATCCCTTGCTGCTTGGAATCTTTGGCTTTATTATATTTCTTGGACGTTAGCCCTGGAACGAGCGTGTTTAGTTGGGCACAAAATAGAAACTGACCTATTAGCCCGGTGCCAGCAATGACATGAGGTTGCTCTAATGAGAAATTTAATACACCTAGTTCCACGTTTTCACCCCCCTTTTGTACTTTCATGCACGCAGTTGGAGAAGAGAGTCCTCATGTTTTATAAAGAGAGGAAGAATTGTTGAGTAGAAAAATTACGGAACTGGCAGGCAGAAATCCTGAGATCACACCTGAGCTCTGCCATTTACTTGGGAGGGTTATTCCAGCTTTTGAGTGTTTAGTTTCTCATGGATCAAATGGAGCTTTAATATGTATCTTGTTGGCTTCCTTATCAATAAATAGATTCAAAAATGTGTTGCAGAGTTAAGAATGCTCTCTATTTTTAAGGTACTAACATGACATAAAATTCAGAAGAGAATCATTGGTGAAAACTGGTTTTGTGAAAGTCTAGTGATAATTGAGGCTTTATTTACTTTTTCAAATTTGCTTTCTTATTAGTACAAGGGTCCCCAACCACCAGGCCTTGGACCAGTACCCGTCCATGGCCTGTTAGGACCTGAAAAGCACTAAGTTTTAAACTGTGTTGACTATAAGCAGTAACACTTGATTGTTTTTAAAAGTATTTTTATCAACAGAGTCAATTAGTTAGAGATAGCATTGGAAATTGAACCCGCATTAGTCTTTCCTTGCTTTGCATAACTTTTAAAAGCGACTCTTTGTTTGGCTTGCAGATTTCATAATTATGGGGATCCAGAGCCGTTCTCACTGAATTTGTTGTAAAACATGCTCAGTTGTTTCACATTAAGGCAGAAGGCTGTGGGGTTAGCAGTGTTTCCAATAACCTCCCTTTGTTTCCTCAGCTTCAGTCCAGCTGCCGTGGCAAAGATCCATTTCACATAATAAAGTGCCCTATTACATCAAGTAAGTTGAGTTTCATTCTCCTTTACGGATCAAGAAAATAAAGTTACGCTAATAACTTAAGAGGCTTTTTCTCCTATAGTTTTTAAAATTGGAATTCAGTCCTGTTTTCTGAAGGAAATTATGTTATCTATATATTTATGCAGATAGTACATATAGTTAATATTTGAACAAAATTAGTTTAAAAATCAGAGAGATGATTGTGGCTTATTAAGTTAGGACTATAATGGTGTGTTTAGCTGACTTTTTTGGAGCAAATATTAAAATATTTGGGGAAAACGAGAGAATTTCTAAATACTCTTGACATATGGATATTGCTCAAACTATATTGATTCTAAAGCATTTTTTATTTCTTCCAAAAAATCTATTTCAAAAGTGCTTATACTCTTGTCATTTTAATTCACTGAAAAAAACAGTGTTATTATCCTGAAAAAGTTCAGTATTTTCAAGTTTTTCTTTGACTTTTAGAAGTTATCGGCAATTTGAGTTTAGGCTTATTTTCCTTCGTTTTCGTGGTCAGTGTTACAGTGTCTCCTTTTTACATACGGAGTTTCTCTTCATTGTGTAACATTTTCTGAACTTCGTATAATTTACACAGGGTCAGGTTAGGATTTGATCCTTGGCTGAATCTATGTGTTGTCATAGACAGAATGATAAAATACAACTTTTCCAGTCCGTATGAAGTAGCCAAGCTATTGATTTAGGACGCGACCGAATGATGAAGAGTCTAGTTGACTCTATTTCATGGGTAAGGTAAACAGCATCATAACTGTGGGGGAAATGCTGACTTATTTTATCAGGGGACAGCTGTATCTCAGATTAGCCGGGCGACCTCAAGCAAGACGGGAAAAAGCCGTGGGCCAAGTTTCCTTTATATCCTTTCTAAAACAGCATGTGCTTTCTCCAGAATCCGTGCCAACAATAATAATCTACTCTTCCAAAATGCCTCTTCCTGAGAAATTGTGTGAAGTCAGTACTTTTTGGAAGAGTATTTCCTTATGGAGGCGTTACTGTGTCTGAGATGTGGCCTGGGGGTAAAAAAGATAAGTCATTTTATGGTAACACTTAACAGATGTAGTAAGCAATATGTGTTACATTGTCTTAAGGGGAATTTAATACTTTTATCAGTGTACTGATACTTTAATACTTTTATCTGTAGTGTGCTGAGTTGTGATAAACTCAGGGATATATGTCAGATTTGTGCAAGCATAAATGGGAAGAAATCTGAGGTTGGGAAAATGGATGTGTCGGTTGAGAGGAGATGTGATAATCTGATCTGAATTCACAGTTTTTAATTTTAAGTTTTCATAATAATAGGAATAATAATGATAAAAATAATAGTGGAGAATTTTAATTTACCGGGTGAATATTGCTTTAACACAGAGATGACCACATCCTGGATGTGACTATATTCTGTTACATAAAGGTGGGGGGTTGGAGGCAGGAGCCAGTGGATGCGGGCAGCCTCTGGAAGCTGGAAAAGGCAAGGAAGCGTGATTCTCTCTTAGAGCCTGCAGAGAGGAGCACAGACCAGCCGATCTTGATTTTAGGCCATGGAGATACTTATATTGTGGTAATTTGTTACAGCAGCAATAGAAAACCAACACACATACTGTACAAAATCTAGACGTCCATGTGTCCTGCAGCTGGTCAAGGCTGGCGGGTTTGCTCTGAAATTGGGCAGAGAAAAGTCGCTGAGCCGTGGGGGTGTCTGACGTGCTTTTATTCACGGGTGGGTGAGCCACTCATGCTGCAAGCCACCGTGTCCCCAGTGGGAAGCCCTACCCTCTTATATACTAAATGCACACAAAGCCAGCAGGATACCAGGTGCGTGAGAGCCCACTCAGTGTTATGGGAATGCAGTTTATCGGACCCAGTCTCAAGGCTATGGGAATGCTGCTGAGCTCCCCAGACATCCGGGCGAGGGAGCCAGACTGACTCCGTTTACCCTACACCATTCATACTAATTAAAATTAACTTACTGAATTAACATAGAATCCTCTATCATCTGACTTTTTAAAAATGTAAATTGGATCCAAAAAGGCAGATTTTTGTTTTGAACTAGATAAGAAGAATGTTAAATCTCTTACTTGGTCATGTACTGCAGTGGTTATCTGTTTGATTTGGCACTTTAAAAATCCATCCTTAATTTTAGCACTACCATTAAAAGGCATTTCTGAATGTCCAGGTTGGTATATATGACTGAGAATTAATTACATTAAGTCAGAATGTCTCTAATCAGAATTGTTATAGTTTTGATAGGATCTAGTAGGATTGTATCCTCAATCAGTCTATGAGTTCTTATGGGGCAGGCCGGTAGAGAAAAAGCTGGTTTATCTGGTGTCTGTCTCATTGACTGAAGCATTTTAACCAGAACTCCAATGTATATCGAATAATTGATGACCAGTATTTTAAATTGTGACCTGTAGCATCCTGAAGTATCTTCAACATCATTAGTGAAAGATTGGCTTTCTTAAAATATATGTGTGTGCGCACACACACACACACAGTGTTAGTGTCAAAGAGCTTTTTAGGGCTTTCAAATATTTAGAAATTTGACCATGTCTATAGAATGCATTCTCTTATTTTTTAAAAATCTTGTTTAACCAGAATCTTGCATTACTTGCTCTGTTGTATAACTCATCACTTTATTTCCTCATAAAGAAGGAACATCAATCTTGGGAGGCAGATTTATACGAGCCAGTATTTCCAGATGAAGAATTGTTATGAAAACAAAATTGAATTCCAAAATAAATTAATAAGCAAGTAAAAGATGAATGAAAAGGCTTTTAATATGTACTTGTTTTTGCATGGCTGCACAAGTAAGCAGAAGAATAATGTTAAAAACAAATTTAGCATAAATTTCATGCAAGCAGTTTTTCCTGGAGTATGTTAGAATGTATTTAGTTGATTTAACTAAAAAGAAAATAATTTTAAGGTAGAAATGTAGATAGATATTGTCAGTATTGAGGTATGCAGTTTTATATACTCTAATGTCAGAATATAGCAAGAAAGTTAAAAGGAGAATGGGAAGGACAAATTATTTTTATTTCACATTTTAATTTTCCAAAGTAGTTAAAACATACTTTGATGGCTCCCTAATTCACTTCTCCCTTTCTGGGTAATTCTTTATCACTATTTTAAGGTATACTGCAATGGTACCATAACGGATTTGTTTGTAGAAGATGATAGAATGTAGGAGTATATGAAGAATAAATCCCTCTATGTTAATATCTTAAGTTGAAATTCATATTTAACTTAACATTTGCTGCCTCTGAGGCAGACTTTCCAAAACTGATCCGGTTATTTTCCTTCTCTCGTATAGTCCATTGACAGCTCCTTGTTCTATCAGTTTAAGAAACTTTGAAATGCCTCTGACTGCTTTCACAATATAAAAAAACCTACCATGAAAGCTAGATCTTTCTTTGTGGATTTTTAGTCATGTTTGTGTTTTGCAAAGTTGTTTATTCCCTCAAATAAAAGTCAACCCTCAGGGAGTTTTAGGTACAAAGGGAATGGAGAATAAAAGCTTTGGATTGAACCTTCCTAAAATGTCATATTAATCTTATAAAATGCATTGCTTTTCATTTTGTTCCAGAAGAATTAATAATAATAGAAATGATAACAGCAATGATAATAATAATAAAAGCCATGGCAGGTGATAACAATGATCATTAGCATAAACTATTGTTTGCAGGTTCATTTGGCAGCCACTGTGCCTGGAGCCTCTCCTGCAGTCCTCGCAGTGGCCTGAGGGAGGGGAGGCGCTATCAGTACCCCCACTTCCAGGCAAGGCTTAGATCTTAAGCACACGTAGCCAGCTTGAGATCACACAGCCAATGAATGGAAGAAGAGCTCGTGTTCAAACCCAGGGACCGACTCTGGCTTCTGAGCTGTTCAGCACTATGCAGTATTGCCTCCTGCTCCCAGCATGTTGAAGTAGAGAATAGAAATTTCTAGTCACGTGAACCAGTTTGGATAGGATGAAGGATTATATTTAAGAAGGAGCAGTCAAGTGGGGAAAATAGGAGCAAACATCTTTTTTTCTGTACCATAGACTCGCTGTCATTTATTATACACCCACTGTGTGCTGGCTTTAAGCATGAAGCTGTCCAAGAACAAGGCCCGTGCTTTCCCCAGCACTCCACACTGCCTTTTCTGTAGGACAATACATGTTTAAGGAAATTTTACACTGAGATCTGGTAAAGGACAAGGGTGCTTTTCTGTAGAGAGGAAGGTGTCGTTCTCTGCAGTCCTGCCCGTCACATCCTGACAGTTCCAAGTTGGGGAGATGGACCGAGGCCCTCCATTCCCTTTCCTCATTCTCTTGCTCGGGAGAATCCTGTCATTCTGTCAACAAAGCTGGCTTTTGAGTAGATGGCCCTAGACCATATGCAGCCTGTCAGGAAGCCATACTGTTTCATAGAATTTAGTAAGGTGGCCCTGACGGGTGTGGCTCAGTGGATAGAGTGCCGGCCTGCGAACAGAAGGGTCACTGGTTCGATTCCCAGTCAGGGCACATGCCTGGGTTGCGAGCCAGGACCCCAGTGGGGGGGGGTGTGAGAGGCAACCACACATTGATATTTCTCTCCTTCTCTTTCTCCTTCCCTTCTTCTCTGTCTCAAAATAAATAAGTAAATAAATCTTTAAAAAAGAATTTAGTAAGGTGTAGTAAAGAAAGAGGTGTTCTTTCTTCCCTTACGATGTCTTCTCTAAACCTCAGTGTGTGGCTTGTCAGTAAGTAAGCCTTAGTGTTTGTACAGGTGATTGATTACTCTGCTGTTCTGACAGGCTTCAGGCTCACAGCTTAACAGTTCTATTGTGCTGTTTTTCCCTCTAGAATCAGAAATTGTGAGCCTTAGTTCTTTACAGGATCCTAAGTGCAGTCCCACACACAGCTTTCACATGAACACTTTAGTAATCTCTGATTTTATAGACAATGCACACCACATTCTTTAAAGCTGACATTTCTCAATAGTACAGATGCATTAACTAATCTGTGT